TCACCTTAACTCTACAATATCTCACTTCCATGCGGTTCTCTCTCCTCTAAAAACACATACACTAAAAGGCGCTAAAACACATACACTAAAAGGCGCTTCTCTACAGCATCTGTCCCAAGACATTCGAAATCTGATTGTAAGGGAGGAGTTAGCGTTCCAGTTGAACTGCAAGTTCAATGACCTAACACACACCCGTCCTTGTACCTACGAGCCCGGGATCCCAGACAAAGCCGATTAGCCGTTCAAAGTCAAAGATACAAGAACGGAGATTTACAATAATTGTGCAAATTTCAATCCTTATATTTTTTCTTCCATCCTTTTATTTACTGAGAAAAGAGCAACGTATTTTTATTCTAAATATACTTGACTTTCATTAAACACAAAAGTGCAGAAGTTAAATACGAAGCCAAGAACAAAATTAATATGGCAACTGCTACGACTGAAAATATTTCAAATAAAGCTAACATGCGAAGGTACGTTCTTTATTTCGTGATTTTTTATTACCATTTCATCAATTTGTCTTGCTAACAAGTTATATCTACACCTGTAGAGACGTGGCGGATAGCTGGAAGACCAAATTAAACCTACCACCTAAAGATAGACGTGTAAAAACTACAGTAAGTTCACAACGTTCACTTGTTGGTTGAATGAATTGCCACCAGTTTCATGTATTTGATGCTTTGTCTACGTGCCATTTGTGTACATATATAATCATTTCTTGTTTTCCTGTCTTTTATTTGTTGTTTATTAAGTAGTTGAAGTATTATTCTTTGCCATGTACATAAAATATAAACACATTATAAATAATAATATTGCTATTTCGACATCATAAAATTTATATAACGTCACAGGTCCAGTGCAGTTTCATTTTTACTGTAAATAGGCAGTTTGATGATATTTATGTTTAATATCGCAGAAATACTTCTGAGTTTCCAGGGAACCATTTAAAGTAAGCAAGTTAAGTTAACTCTTGATCAGAATGTTTGATTTGTGCTGGAAAGAATGCAGGAACACAATAGCCGAATTCATCTAGATGGACACATGCAATTAAACCATTGGACTATTAATAAACCTGGAAAATCCGGAAACTCTCAATCCAACAGCAAACTTCAAAACCTCAATTCTTCAGCGTAATTCATAGTGACGTTTTATGTCAATTTTTGCCTTTTCTACGGACAAGACAGACAAGGGCAAAATCTTATCTATTTGTTAATTTTACAATATTTTTGAAGGAGTGAAATAAATTGAATATAAGAATGCTCTAGAGCCCCTAACATACTAGCCTGCATGGCAGACCCTCAATTGGGAAGGACTGTCTGCCGGGTTTGGCTATGTATTTTCAGGGTGTTAGCTAGCCTGGATATACTGTCCGTTTGACAGACTCTTTCCAATAGACCTTTCCCCTTTTGAGTGAAATTTTGATCTAGACAAGTCTGGACAAAAATTTCATCACAGCTTGAAAGAGCATCACAAAATTAGTAATATTCCGAAGTTTCGTTGTGAAATGCACTGTAAGTTGTAAAATGCGGATGATATAGCCTTGTGAAGTTTGCCGTTTTTCAGTCATTTTGTATTACAAATGGGAAATTGATAATCAGTTTGATCATCTGATTACCAATTTCCCGTTTGTAATACAAAATGACTGAAAAACGACAAACTTCGCAAGGCTATATTATCCGCATTTTACAACATTTTGCAACAAAACTTCGGAATATTACTAATTTTGTGACGCTCTTTCAAGCCTCTCTCCTCCGCAGAGGCTTACATGAAGTTTCTAGTGATGGAAAAGTGAGCACGCAAGGAGTGATGGGAGGAAGCCTCTGCAAGTTAATGCAATCAATATGGCGTTGTATATAATCGTTTGTAGCGAAGTTCGATCAACCATCGGGGGTGTTAAAACATGTTTTTGGCTTTCATTTCCAGGCGTACTTGAGTATCCTGGGGTGAGTTCAATATCAATATCTTCTTCTGTCCATTTGCATCGAAAAATATTGAGAAATTGCAAACGAATATCAATGGATGGATACAAGCTATCTAATTAAAAATATCATCTTAATTGCAACATTTCTTTATAAAAATGACTCTGTTGAACTTTGATACTCAGATTATGAAGATTCATTTCAATTTCTTTCACATTTCTGTCGATTTCAAGTTTAAAAAAAGGTCAAACAACTAGTTTGGTTCAAAAACCATACTTTGTCGCATTATCTGGCAGAGCCTCCCCAACTTCATTTCAATCTTCCCATCACACCGTGCACACTCACTTTTATTCAGAAAACTTCATGTAAGTTATTTGTAAATACTTAAGGAGGCTCTGCAGAGGAGAGAGCTTTCAAGCTGTGATGAAATTTTTGTCCAGGCATATCTAGATAAAAATTTCACTCATAAGGGGAAAGGTCTATTGAAGTAGCTAAGGGGCTTTCCCAATTGGGTCTACTGGAAGATTTTCATTTTTTCTGATGAGAAACTACATTGCATTTGATTTTATATTATTATATCAAAGAACTTTTTATTTACTCTTTCCCATTAGCTATTTTCTCAAAATGTATCGCGTTTCATTCATATTGGGTGTGTATTCACTGAAATGAAATGTACAAAACAAAGTGTAATCGGTGTGCATCCGTGTTCATTCACCAGAAATGAAATATATAAAACGAAGTGCCATTGGATGCATAATTTTTCAGTGTTCATGGAGAAATATGTTCATGGTTCAAGGAGAAATATGTTGGAAAAACGTTATTCCTACACAAGGACTTTGATCGGTCAAAAAAACTATCCCAATTTACGTTTAACAGACAAAACTTTTTTTCTGGCTAACACCCTGATTTTGGATACTGTCCCCTTTAAAATCACAGCTAAAAATAAACAACCATTACTTATGTAAACAAACCGCACATTCAAATCAAATACTTAAGGTAGCGACATCAAATGTTCTTGTATTGCCATGTGGATATTTTTACTTTATGACCGCTATACTAACATTCAAAATGCTAATATCAGTACATCACATATTTTCATTCAAGCTGACTTGGGAACAGGAATAAATTGTGAAACTTTAGCAAAATAATTTAGTGCCACCATTTTCCATCAAATGATCAAATTGACAAATTATTAAGGCTTGGAATTAAGCCCCATTTACACTACTCTCTTCCAGCTCCTCCTTTAATTAATCTTCTGCACAATGACTGTGAGTTTTGATGCTATTACCTCACCTGCAATGACTTCCACAGAATTTAAAGCTGTTATACATGCTTATATAAAAAATACCAGACATATTTCAATATTTTTAGTGTAGCATTTTTGGATGAAATACAAAATTATCAATATTGGTTTATTTCAGAAAACATGCACACCTCCCCATATGGAGAAAATGGGAATCTATCTACCCTCTTCCAAATGGATCTCCTGGCATATAATGATATTTGCAAGTAGATTTCTTCCCCTCCCCCCACGCGTATTTCCTTCTCAGGGGGCGCACATTCTGAAACAATTAGGCTGGGGCAGTTTATTCGTAAACCGATAAATATCAGGGTTTTCTTCTTTGCCTAGTACAGTAGATTGAAAAACTGAGACCTTGTGCTGCATTTTTCACATTCGTTCCTGGTCAGGTCTTAAAATGTATATATACTCACTTGTACAGATTTGCCTAGTACAGTAGATTGAAAAACTGAGACCTTGTGCTGCATTTTTCGCAGTCGTTCCTGGTCAGGTCTTAAAATGTATATACTGTATACTTACTTGGATTACAAACCCTAACATTGTAATATTAATTCCACCAAGTGAAGTGCAAGAAACAAATCATTGAAGTCCACCTTATCACAACCCGCACACCCGATTACTATATATACATGAACTTACTGTTACAGCTCAACAGCTGGCCTCTGTAGCTCAGTTGGTTAGAGTGCTGCACCGGGATCGCAGGGCCGTAGGTTCAATTCCTACCAGAGGACCTTGTGTTGCATTTTTCGCAATCATTCCTGGTAAGGTCTTAAAATGTATATATACTCACTTGGATTACAAACCCTAACATTCTAATATTAATTCCACCAAGTGAAGTGCAAGAAACACATCATTCAAGTCCACCTTATCACAACCCGCACACCCGATTACCTATATATACATGAACTTACGGTACAGCTCAACAGCTGGCCTCTGTAGCTCAGTTTGTTGGAGCGCTGCACCGGAATCACAGGGCTGTAGGTTCAATTCCTACCAGAGGACCTTGTGCTGCATTTTTCACAGTCGTTCCTGGTCAGGTTTTAAAATGTATATATACTCACTTGGATTACAAACCCTAACATTCTAATATTAATTCCACCAAGTGAATTGCAAGAAACACATCATTCAAGTCCACCTTATCACAACCCACACACCCGATTACCTATATATACATGAACTTACGGTACAGCTCAACAGCTGGCCTCTGTAGCTCAGTTAGTTGGAGCGCTGCACTGGAATCGCAGGGCTGTAGGTTCAATTCCTACCAGAGGACCTTGTGCTGCATTTTTCGCAGTCGTTCCTGGTCAGGTCTTAAAATGTATATATACTCACTTGGATTACAAACCCCAACATTCTAATATTAATTCCACCAAGTGAAGTGCAAGAAACAAATCATTGAAGTCCACCAAAACAGACCGAAGAATTGTATATCTCCATTTGTTCACACAATATGCAAGACCTATACACAACTGAGAAATGCCGAAACTTGATCAGAATGTTGATAGCCTGTAGCCAAACTTCTTTTCTTTTTGTTTCTCGGTGTTGGCCTCGCATATTTTATTTTATTTTACAGATTTTGCCATTTAACACAAACTATTACACAAAATTAGTTAGACAATAGATTACATGGCTGGAATTACCACGCAGAGATTAAGGCGGATTTCCAGTCCTCGCACAAAGCTCCTCGCTGCGAGTGATGCATGAGCACTTTCATCCAATCACAATGCTAAACAGTTAATTTTAATTAGATGCAAGAACTCGCAGCGAGCAGCTTCGTGCGAGGACTGGAAAACCGCCTTTAGTTCTCCAAAAACAGGGTTCCTAGACATTCGAAATACACAGTATGAACAATAACAGGCTTGCCGACAGACAGACAGACAGACAGACAGACAGACAGACAGACAGATGTGAAGATCAACAAACAAGCACAACAAATTACAATCAATGACTTACAATTTATGTGACAGTAAATTTAAATAAACAACATGCTCAATTCGACAAGTTAGTCAATGGGCGAGTTGTGTGACACTTCACTCTCGGATCCTCAGGATTATAAATTTCTTTAGTGAGATTCCTATAATGTTGCATTAAACAAAATTTGAAAGAGGCCAAGAAAAAAAACATGTGAAATAGACCTTAGTATTATTTTATGCAGTCTGTTTTTTGCATCTTTTTGGGATATTCAATAAGGGGTTTCAAGCGTCAACATGGCACAAAAAACAGTTTTATCAGTTTCTTTCCGCCCAAGCCTAGAAACAATCATGAAGACAACATTGATCAGTACATTGCAACATCCTAATTCAAATATTTCTTTTCCAACCAGGATGTGACATCAACAAAAGGCAATGATTTTGAAGATTACTGTCTTAAACGTGAATTATTAATGGGAATATTTGAAAAAGGTTATGAAAAGCCATCACCTATACAAGAAGAAAGTATTCCTATTGCATTAGCAGGAAGAGATGTTCTTGCACGAGCCAAAAATGGGACAGGAAAGACAGCAGCTTACTTGATACCAGTACTTGAAAAACTTGATGTTGCCAAAAATTGTATTCAAGGTAAAATACTGAACATGTACTGTACATACCTCACACTCTTGGTGCTCCTGATTAATTAATAGATTTTTTGTGGGTTTTTGTGGGAATTGATTATTCATGACAATAATAGGCAATTCCAGCTTTTAGTTTATGCCTGCAGGGGATGATGGGAAGTGAGGTATCATGGCTGATTTGCTGAAAAAATTGCTGAAACAACCGAAATATTTCAATTTTACGAGTATAAGCCATCACTCTGTGTTTACATGGCCATTTCTATTTTTTCAGCATAAACAACGATGTGATACCTTACTTCCCATCGTCCCCTGCTCGCATAAACTAAAAGCTGGAATTGCCTATTGAATCAACAAAACTGCTGTGCATACTAGCATGATACTTGGATTATTAACTTTCTTTCAAAATGTGACCTGTTTTTTTTTATTTTTCTGCTACCACTAGCTCTCCCATTGGCCATTGCCTGTCAAAAAAAGTTCAACACATATCCCTTTCTTGGAAGCGACATTAAGTCGTTAACCAGTGTTGTCGTGTCTAGATTTATTCAGTATGATTAATCGATTGTTGATGACGATTCATAGATTATGATAATTTACAGTACTGATGGGAGCGGGTCTAGTAGAGAGTTTATACAATGGATAAGATGAATTTTAACAGACAATTTTGAAATTTAGACCCTCTGAAATAGCATTTTCAGCCATTGTGCAGATTAGTTTTGGAGTTTTTGTCATATCAAAATATTTAATGAAGAATATCTTTTAAGAAACCTTTCCCTTGACATTTTTGTTGTAAGCAGGAATTACTTTAGGTGGTAATTTTAAAGAAATAGCCGGCGATTTTATATGCAATAGACAGTGTTTTTACCGGGTGCAGGCTTCTATTGGGAACCCTGATACTATGGAGTACAGGAATAAAATAATTAGAAGTCCCGGGTCACATACACCAACCGTTAGACTAACACCCCCCATGAGCTCAATGTTTTTTAATTGCATTTTATTGGATGCAATGAGGTTTTGAGCCACAATGTTCATGTAACAGACTTTAATAATGTTTAATGTAATATTGATGTTATATAGCACTAGTATTGGTTCCAACACGAGAACTTGCTCTACAAACATCGCAAATATGTAAAGAACTTGGTAAACATCTGAATGGACTTCAGGTCATGGTTACTACAGGTGGAACAAGCTTGAAAGATGATATTATGAGATTATATAATCCAGGTAATCTTCATATTCTCATGGTGAGTAGTTAGGGCACATGAACATTTGACTGGTTAGTCTGAGTGATCAGTCAATTGCATTTGTAGCTGGGGGGAGGGGATAACAGGGTTGGTACAAAACAACTTGAAAGTCCTTGAAAGTCCTTGAATGTCCTTGAATGAAAATTCTTCTTGCTTTAGTTTATGGATATTTTATGAAATTATTTGACATTCAAAACTGACATTTTTTTGAACTGATTTGCATGTTCATATCTGACAAAGCTGTTTGAAATTCATAATAAAGTTGTGCCCTTTTTGAACAATTGAACATCACATTTTAAGTACTGACTTCTAATGCCTTCTCTTCAGTATTTAGTCCTTGAATTTGCTGATACATGGCCTTGAATGTCCTTGAAAAGTCCTTGAATTTAACTCTTCCTGACATGTACGAATTAACCAGGGATAATTTTTGAAAACCTCCGAACGATACCTGTAGCTGAATAACTATACATCATGTATACTATTGCATGGAGTTTGAGGCAAAAAATTGTAAAAAAACTGAGATTTCTGGGTACAAAAGAGGCGGTCATATGTTGGCAACCTAATTTCCCCCACCATATTTTATGAAGTGTCTGCCACTGATTTGTGGGGTTGCAACATTCATCCCCCTTACTCTCACCCCATTGGTCCTTGAAACCGAACTGTGCATATTTTGATGGTAGATTGATTGCAATTTAGTCTTAAAATTTCTTGAAATTGGCCTTTAAAACTTTGTAGTACTGTAGGTGACTGTATAAGGCAACATACCTAATAAGCATGATTTCCGTACACCACCAGAAATAATTGTATGCTTATTATTATCATTGTAGTTCATGTGATCATTGCCACTCCTGGTAGAATTTATGACCTGTTAAAAAAGGAATTGGCCAACACAAAAGACTGTCAAATGGTGGTAATGGACGAGGTACACTGTCTGTATTCTTTTGAAAGCTGTGTTGTTTTGAGAGTTGATCTAGGATGTTGGTTTGTGTACACATCTTGATCAAGACTAGGAGAACATTTTAAAGTTAATTAACAAGCTATTTGGACATTTCCTTTCACTTTTTTGTTAATCCAGGATTAAGTTAACCTGCTTTAGAAATGTGTATAACGAGAAAGTTTAAGAAAAGTTGGAACGAAATAGGTTAAATGGATTGATAATTGCTGTTTAAATTCAAAATGTGTCATGTAATAAATGCAATATAAATTAAGTTTGCAAACATTCGTACTACAAGATATTTTAGATAGAAATTTTGAAATTAAAAATTTAAATATGCATTACACAGTTTACAAAAAGTTTTGCCAACTTTGCTCCCAACGACAATAACAATGGTACAAATTCACATTAAAAACCATATTTCAAAGAACTGCACCTTTAACAATGGGCAGATTTTAAAAATGAGTTGAATGGATTTTTGTATTGTTGTTCTATAGGCAGATAAACTTCTATCTCAAGACTTTAAAGGAGTGTTGGAGCAAATTATTCACCACATGCCAACCTCCAGACAAATTCTCCTATTCTCAGCAACATTTCCAGTTACAGTTAAAGAATTTAAGGTGAGGTTACAAAATTCCATATCGTCGTATTTTTGCCGGCTATTTTTGCCGGCTATTTTTGCCAAATATATGATTAAAGACAGATTTATTTGATCATACTTTCATAAATATGTAATCATGGAATCAGAATACCACAATGAAAATCAATTTTAGGACACGAGGTGCGATTTATAGGTTTGGTTTTGACACTACCTGCAGGTCAACAAAGTTGTGGTTTATACAATACCTAAAGCTGGTGAAATCAATGACACCATTGGTTAAAAATGGTCATAAAACGTTTTTCCTAAATTACTAGAAAGTTGACAAAGTGCGTAATGATGGTGTAAAATACGATCTGTGTTGTTCAATGTTTGGTGCTATCTTTAGGAAAAATATCTAGAGAAGCCTTATGAAATCAATTTAATGGACGAACTGACATTAAAGGGAATTACACAGGTTGGTTTGTAACTTCTTTATATATGATAACGTTGTCATTTACAACATGTCATTTACATGACAATGCATGAGTAATGTACACATATCGTTATACCTTAGGTGTGTAGAAATCGACAAACGTTTAATTTATTTACAACTTTCTGTTGCAGTACTACGCATTTGTTGAAGAAAGACAAAAAGTACACTGTCTAAACACGTTATTTTCAAAGGTTGGTCTTTTTTACTCGATATAATTGACCACGTTACATATTTTTATGAAACTTGTTTGAGATACATGCAGTAACCTGAAAAATACAAGGAGTATAATAGAAATTAGTTGCATCCCTAGCAATCCGAGCTTTCCTATTATTGCCACTACCTACACTGGCACAGACCGAAAATAAATACAACTGCCTGAAATGAGAAGTGCATTACTATACCTCTCTTGTTGTCGTCGCTACTTACATTGTACTAGCACCGACCGTTTCTAGAAACCTGAAATAATCACTGGCTTCTTTCCGCGTGTTTTCTCCAAATATTTATATTGTAATATGTTAAAAACATCAAGAACTAATGTCCCAGTGAAAGTGCAGTCTACTACTTTTATCCTTCTGCAGGCGTAGAACCAGCAAACCTCGAAACTCGCAAAATGAGGAAAAATCTTAGCCTTGCCAGCAGGCCTCATTAACATTTTTTCGTGCCTGCGAGCGAAATTCAAAATGTGCCTGCAAAAACACATCTTATTTAGATTTTGTGACTTAAATATTGTTACCTGCGAGCGGCGCTCGCGCATTTTATTGATGTCTGCTTTCCAGTGAAAAAATTTCACAGCAAACTTTCGCGAGTAATGGAATTTATTCGGGTAATTTGAGCTATTGTGGTTACATACTGGATTTGAAATTTTGCTAGTGACTTTACTTTTTGTAACACGTGTTTGCTAGCTTAAGTTCAACCCTTATTGAACCAGACACCTGGATTATAACTCACAAATAGTTCATTCTGTTTTAGTTACAAATCAATCAATCGATTATTTTCTGCAATTCCGTTCAAAGAGTGGAATTATTGGCCAGACGTATTACAGAGCTGGGTTATTCATGTTTTTATATACATTCAAAAATGTCGCAACCTCACCGCAACAGAGTGTTTCATGACTTCCGTAAAGGAGAATGTCGAAATTTAGTTTGTTCAGGTACGATATCATTACTTTATTAAATTTCTCCTCAAATGAAACAAGCAAAAGAGCCTCGACCAGTATTCACATTTTTCATTGAAAGTGTTTTTATAAATTCTGTATATACAATGCAATACGAAACTGTACTTTATTGAACTCTCCCATGAGTACATACCACAAAAATATTGTAAAATACAGTATGCTCATTAAAACTATATAAAGGATATATATGTTTATTAGTTTGGAAAGTCAAATAATAAAATGTTTCTCCAATAGATATTTATGTAACTTGTATTTAAAAATGCATGTTAATTGTTGGAACTAGATTTAATATCCTCTGGAAGTTCGTTCCGTAAAGTGACGGCGCGGTAAAAAAATGTCCGCTGGCACTCTTGAAGAAAGAGATGTTCAATTAATGATTAATCACATGCAAAGTATTTTAAAAACAATGAACGAAAAAATATTTCAAACCGATTTTTTTTTCAAGTTCGCAGTATTTATCAGTGAATGTGGTGTTCACTTTGATTTCCCCAAGTTATATATGATTGCCCGTTTTGATGATAATTATAGTTAGTATCAACCCGGATCAAACAAAGAGTTGGCACATGACTTGTAGCTGTACTTCCAATGCTTTCCCAACACTATCATGTATTCTATCAAAATTTTTATTTCGTTAATCTAGAGCTTAAAATCTCCCCTGTAACAATGCGTGACTGCCAGTCTCGTTTGAGCGGGGCTTTAAAGTAATTTTTCTATTTCTTTTCTTCAGACTTGTTCACCCGTGGTATCGACATCCAATCAGTGAATGTTGTGATCAATTTTGATTTTCCAAAGTTATCTGAGACGTATCTTCATCGCATTGGTCGCTCAGGACGTTACGGGCACCTCGGTCTGGCTGTCAATCTTATCACTTATGATGATCGTTTTGATCTCTTTAAAATTGAACAGCAACTTGGCACCGATATCAAAGCCATTCCTTGTAGTATTGACAAGAGTCTGTACGTCGCAGAGTACCACCAAGTACAAGATGAAAATTGAGTATCCTTTAATTGTGACGTCTTCTTGCTTGTGACGCCACAAAATTGTTGTCGTGATTTTGATGTATTTTACATATTGTGTCCTCAGTGTACATAGTGGATATGGCACGTGATGTGCATGTTTGTTAAAATCCATCTCAAAGTCTGTTATATTCTGGGGCAAGACAAGTTTCAATTTGCATTCAATTTTTACAAACCTTCTCATTTGAACGAAAGCATATTTTTTCAAATCGAAATGTTTTAGAGCAGTTGGGTGTGGTCGTAAAACTGGTTCAAAACCCTTGTTTTGGAATTTTGTAATGAATGCATCGATAATCTAAAAACTAACCCCTTTCAATTAGCAGCTAAATCTAATTTCAAAAGATCAAGGCTTGTAAGAGTCATGTATGTCTTGACCCAGTTGTACAGTGTATAAAACGTGATTGAGTCAACGTGTAAATTGTCGATAAATTATTTAATTATGTACGTTTCCAGTGCGCCAACGCAGTGTGGTGGATGGAAACTCTAGCATTGAGCTGGAATAAAGTGATCATTTCTTGGATAGCATGACTGGAATCATTCTCGTTTAAAAATAATTTCACTGCGAAGTAAGGTCTAATTACCAAAAAGTCGTTTGATCTGAGGCATCCTTGCATGGAATAAGGTGGTCAAGATCCGAAGAAATTAAGTTTTGCTTTCTGCTCCACGCTAGAGTTTCCTGTAATGTTGTAACAGTGGTTGGCTGGGCCATATTAGACAATTCTGGCTATATATCTGTAGATCCCTAGATCATATTCAGATTGAGTATCAGCCAACCTCTGATACAAATACTCGCACTTCAAGCGTCGCAATATTCCTATGCCAGGTTTCTAAGGTTTCATGCCCGACCAAACATTAGACCCTGACGTACGAATGTTACGATGTTTGTAGTACGCCTCAGGCTACGTTTGCACGGCTCCGGACGAACTGAACTTTGACCTCGCACGGTTGCACGTGTTAACAATTTCCTGCGGTTCCGAATTCGTCCGAAGTCGTGTAATCGTAACTAATTTGTAAATATGTGTAAATATATAGAGTTCTATTTTCGAAATGGGGAGGGATGGGTATTGTTTGGCATCTAATGCGTGTGTAGATGTCAGAAATCTTGATTTAGAAACATCGGGTAATTGCAAGATTTCCAATTAGAAAACAGTAATTGAAACATTTCTCCATCGTTCATGACCGCCATGAAATGTTTTCATGAACTTTGACTGGAGTAAAATACAACGGTTTTGATTATAAAATTGATAGAACGTACGTTTGTCCATGCTACTGCAGTAGGGCATTGTACCAATGATTTCATTGAAAGGGTCACTGGCAAAAACGAGAAAAGTAATTACAGTCAGTGAGTAGTTAAAGTAGTACCAAGAAAGTACAAACATGATTCTGGAGCATGAAAATGGTAAATTAGCAGTAGATTTTACGGTTTTGAGCTCCACAAGTCCGTATAATCATTTTGATGGTTATCGGTCAGAGGAAAGATATTGAAAACTTGTATGAAATATCTCGGGTACAAAAGAGCGTTTCAAGATTCAGCACTAAAAGCTGCAATCAGTCTGCCAAGGTTTTTTGCTATAAGTCTACTGCAAGTGCATGAAAGCCTTGGCAGACATTTTGTCCACAATATGTGGATCAATATGAAATAACATATTTCAAATAATATACAGGTTGGAATTCGCATGAGGGAAATCAGACACATGAGTGTAAAGATCCATCTGTATATTAGACTGCTTACATTTTCCAACTTTGTAAGCAACTCGAAGAATAACATGGCGTGTTACAGGACCACCTGTGAGCACGAAGGTGCAGTTACGTTGAACATTAGTTCAAGCCAGCGTAACTTCACAAAGTACGAACTTTAAAAGTTAAAACACTTGCAGTAAACAGTTACGTCTAGATGTTCCTGGAAAAACTAAACTAAACTTCTGTCTAAAACTTCAGGTCGGGCAACTAAAAATATTTAACATTTCCCTTCTGTTTACTGCATTTGTTCACTGTAGTTTCGTCTTTCGAATGTCATCTTCACTAACTGCCCGAAACTACAGTGTGTTAAGTTATAAAGCGCAGTTTTATCGTTGTGTGTCATTAGACGCATTTGGGGAACATTGTCGTATCTAGTTCCTAAGAAAATCGTTTGTTTGTCGACAGTTTCTACTTCAGAAACGTTGACTTGCTACGATCAAAATTGTGTTGTGTAATTATCTGTCCACGTATTATGTAATTAGTTTTTGTTTTAGTTAATGTACTGTCTAAAATTGAGCTAGCTACCGTTCTTTTTAACCAATTGTGGTGATGTTGCGTTCGAGAGTTTTTCATCTGTTTTCATTCGGTTAAATCTGTTTTCATAGTGAGGGAAAAACAATGTTGATTGTTCGCAAATATCACCAACACCTGTTTAACAGACTAGCCAAGAACTAAGCAATGTAACTATTGTAATTCTTTGGCCGCTTGAAGCTGGTATGGGATAGAATTTTTCACTAAATACAACTTTAGGAAAGATCTACAGGTAGATGTGGGATAATTTAAAGCTTTTTAAATTTTTTACACTACAAGTCAACAATTCAGAAATTTTTATTCAGATCATGCATGTAGGTATTTTTGACCAGGTTGAATGGTTAAGACGCTTCCTACAGGTTTTTCTAAATCGTTGAAGAGAGACGGTAGCTGGTGTTATATGTTAACAATTATTGTTATTAAAGTTTCGTTGCATGATCATGTTTGGATTTGATCAGTACTTTAGGGTCAATAGTGGTTGTTAGTCGTATTTCGGTTTAAAGATTGTCTGCAGATCTGCGGTATATTGATAATTAATGATTCTCTTAGTATAAACAATGAGAAAAAATCTTAATTTGCTTCTGCACTTTTGATTATTTCTCATTCATCTGTTAGCAAATGTTGTGTAATTTTTCTTGTCCGAACCAATAAAATATTTGTTGTTACATTGTTGTTTTAAAGTCGTCTTTCAATTATTAATAAATGTGCTTTTTTCTAGTTTTTAAGAATACACCATTTGATAATTATGTCACAAATCTCTCTTTAGCCCGAGCACCTCGTCCTCGTGAATTCTGAGCCAATCGTCTTCGTTCACGAGAATGAGGCTCCCAATAATTTTACCCTGATGAACCAATCGTAGAGCAGGCATATATTTCTGCGGCGACAAGCGTAGGAACTACTCCGTAGAACACGTTCATGTGCATCGTCTTTAGCGACATAGCCCTTCCAAATTTCAATGGCGTAGAAGTTTGGGCGGAGTCTTCCCAGCTTTGGTGACACGCGGAGGGTGATTTTACACTCTCCAGTTTTAAAATTAAAACACCTTGCCCAGAGATCTTGGATCCAAGATATCTCCTCGGCAACTGTGGCGGAATGTTGGAAACATTGATTGGTTCCCGCTTCTCATTCCCAGAGGGAGTTTGTTCAACCATGGATAATAAAATAAATGGATAGGAAACTAGCTGACGTGACCTAATGTTTTCAATGGACTGATGGCGTAATTGGATTAATGTTGAAACCTAGTTGCAAACTAAATACTCAAAAACGGCATGTTTAGCAATAATACAGCTAAACATTTTAGTCAAAGAGCAAATGAATATAACTACGCCATTCTACAATTGAAATCTCTAAGTATTCCCAGTCAATTTTAGCGAATATTTCAAGCACTAAACAGTGAAAAATGCATCCCAAATTTCATTAAAATTGGGGACGTCAATTTCGTAGCTACAAATGTAAAAAAAATACAAAACAAAGACGAAAAACATTTATCTTGAATACTTTGTCGTGGCTTAGGCGTGTTTTTGAAACAATTAGACCAGTCCATGCTTCAATATTACTCTTTTAAAGCAGAAAGTCTAGCGAAACAACAAAAATGGCGAGAACTTTGCAATACGCGTGACGTCACAGATTGCAACTAGGTTGTTTTTGCTTACGTCGGCTAGAGTCCTATCCATTTATTTTATTATCCATGGTTCAACGAAGGCCAGTGCGGCAGTTCTTTACTTTGCGCTATAATTTGAAGACTGCGGTGAGTAACAATGTTTCAGCCGATCATTTGTTCCGCATTAGTATCTATCACATCGTGGAAAAAAAGAACAACAGACGGATGTAACAAATATTTTTATATTTACATTTATCAAAGTGGGTTGAATAATATTGCCAACCTAACTATCACTACATTAGGTGATGCCATTTTAATACATCTAATTAAAATTCAATTTTATATCTCCGCCAGCACAGCAGGACCCACTCGAAACAAAGCTCTTCTTCATATTTCGCTCATGAGGAATCAATATGCATTTCACGTTTCTGGAAATCACCACGTTTGTTTTTTTTATATCCCTGGGGCCGGCACAGGGGGTCCAACTAACAGCTGTGTTATGAATAAAACATATTAATTAAACGTAATATGAATAAAACATCATAACGTAATATTGCACTTACTTG